CAAAGTAATTCATGAGGCTAGTGAGATGTCGGACAAATATATATATACTAAATCCCCAGTCTAGTCTTGTTCATGAAGTGAACCATTGCACTGTAGAATGAGAAAATAAATTCTAGTAAAAAAAAAAATATATAGCTTAAAAGAACTACCATGTTCAAGACAATATTGAGGTTATCCTGTAAATCAGGAATTGTGAAGAATTGACAAGGGAAATGGAAGTTTAGGGAAAATGGTGGAATCCAAAACATATTTTAGAACTCTGCTCAACTTTTTAATCTAAAAGTAGCATTTTTCTTTTCAAATACTTCAATAATACTTTATATTATGACATACTGTAGGAGAAATGTAATAGACAATTGGTATGGTGAAAAATAGCCAAATTGGACACTTTTTCTAACTTTATTATTCCTTGCATACATTTTTTCATCACTGCCATTTCTCTTATCTCAAATCATTGCCTGGCAAATTATAGAACAAAATTGAACAACCTGACTTGTTTCTGAACCCTGGAACATTTGTGTTATATTCTAATATTTTATGCAAACCCAGAAATTCAGAAAGAAAGGTAAATGCCTGTGAATGTTTTATCATAATTCAATGAAGAATGCATCCCTGAGGCCAATGGATTAATTCCAAACCTTTGCAGGTGGACTTATTCTTCTATCCTCTGCCAAAAACGGCTACTTGTGACTGCCAAATCGTCTGTAGATGAACCAATTAATCTTCGCTGTTGCTCCACAATTCCTGGTTCACAAAATCCAAATGGTAGTATAATTGCCTGTCTGTTAATAAATAAATAGACATATCATAGATTAGTTCATTGACGGTTCTCAAAACGTATGTTCAAGTGTGAAAACAACCCTGTGCAAATATGGATTACAGATCATGGTTTTACCAAGTAATTCAATGGGGTATTTCAGTTTAATCAATATTTGGCTCGATTATCAGGCACGTGCCTTGTATTTCATAAAATAGTAAATGCCAACCTTGGCACCTAATATATTTGAAAACTACATTTACCATGTTGCTCAGCCAGCTGATACGAATTCTGATTTTGTTCCAAATATTAAAAACTATATTTTGTGTACACGCACACATATATACACACACACACACTTACTTTTAGATTATCATGACTTTGCAAGCCAGCCCGACAAAACCTTAAATGTCAAAATGGTATAGAGGGTGACAAGAGATATATATATATATTTTTTTTTAATATACTTTATTTTTGTTGTGCAATTAGTTAATTATCGATAATCTCAGAATATCAAAAGAAATAGGTAACAAAGGTAATAGTAACACGTCTAAGTAACTGCACAATTTTTGTAAAGGTAAACCATGCTTATTTGTAAACAGTAGGCTACAAGCTTTATATTAGGAAAGGATATATAGAACATAGTTCTGTCCGATTATAACAGTCGGAGAGACAGGATAATTTAGAACTGTGAGGACAAACATCAGGGCAATATGAGCAGAGTAAGAAATAAAGCGTCATAATCATATATGAAACCATGCATGAATGATAGAAACCTAGCCTTGCTATGGGTAAGGATTAGGGACCTTTCAGCCAACTCCTGTAATGGGAAGAGACTCATTCCATTCATACTGATAGGGCTGGCAACATGCACCCTAGCTTCCAGGCCAGTCAGCAGCAGGGACGTATTAGCCGCGAGGCAAACAAGGCATTTGCCTTGGGCGGCATTTTTCAGGGGGCGGCAAAAAACGCCGCCCCCCAAATGCCCAGGGCAAATGCCTAGTTAGCCTTGCGGCTAACTGACATCCCAGGCAGGCGGGCGGGCGGCCGGTGTTCTATCAGTCTGGTATACTCCGTCAGATTGATATACCCACGTCACTTCCGGGGAGGGGAATCAGCTGTCTCCTGTGCTGCACATGCGTGTTAGCACTCCTGCTACTCCTCCACAGCAAGGTCCTGGAAGGTAAGTAAAACTAGTTTTACACTTTCATTATAGTTAGTGCATTCACTAAGCTTAGGCACACGGGACATTTAGGGTTAAGTGAGGGTTTAAATTAGGGTTAGGTAAGTGATTCTAACCTCTCTCTCACTCTATTCTTACCCTAACCCTTGGGGCAAAGGTTAAAATAAAGTGTGAAAAATCACTATTTAGTGATATTCCCCTAATGTGAAATATCACTAAATAGGAACAAATCTAATCTAACCTAATTTGAACCCTAACATTAACCTAAATGTCCCATGTCACAGCTTAGTGAATCACACCAACTAATGAAAGTGTAAAACTTAATTTACCACCTTCAGAGACCTACTATGAAAATGCTGAAAATATTACCTCAAGGCAACAATTCTACCTCCCCAGGAAATGGCTGATAGTATCTGACGAGGAAGTACCAAACTGATAGAATTTACCCGTGAACACTTCCCAGAGCTGACACAAACAAAGCTCCTCATGTGCCGCACAGTGAGCTGGGAGCGATGGCGTCATCTTCGGCTCCCAGTCCCCTTCTACCTTTGGCGTGAGGCACTAACAATTAACTTTCTGAAATATCCCCTACTTCGGCAACATCCCGCCCGCCCGGCAGCCACTGGACCACCAGGGAGAGAGAGACCTCCCCCCCAGCACTCCCAAAGGTAAGGAGGTTGGGGGGGGGGATTTAAATTTAAAAAAAAAGTTAATCTGTGTGTGTGTCTGACTGTGTTTGTGTGTGTGTTTGTGTCTGACTGTGTGTGTGTTTGTGACTGTGTGTCTGTTTGTGTCTGTGTGTGTGTGTGTCTGACTGTGTATGTGTGTGTGTATGTGTCTGACTGTGTGTGTGTATTTGTGTCTGACTGTGTGTGTGTGTGACTGTGTGTGTTTGTGCCTGACTGTGTCTGTGTGTGTGTGTGTATGACTGTGTGTGTGTGTTTGTGTCTGACTGTGTGTGTGTGTATGACTGTGTGTGTTTGTGTCTGACTGTGTGAGTGTGTGTGTGTATGTGTCTGACTGTGTGTGTGTGTGTGTGTGTGTGTTTGGGAGGAGGTGGCGCGGGGGGGGGGGGGGGGGGTGCCTGAGTTTTGTCCTGCCTAGGGCAGCACAAAACCAGGATACACCACTGGTCAGCAGGGTGCTTCCCTGGGTCCAATCGCGTCTGGCACCTGTGGCCTGTGCCCGTTTGCCGAGATCCTTTGAGTGGGCAAGTTGGGGTCTGAGAGACGGCGCCTGATGCCCTGTAGTACAGATGAGCAGGAGCAGTTTCGGAGTCTGTGCCTGCGGTGCTTGTTTGTCCTTTGTGCCGGTCTCCAGGGTCTACGTGATGCCATGCGAGAGCCGCATGGGAGAAGCTTTGCCTTGTGATGGCGGCTCACTGTCCTGTTCCAGGAGGCTTCGGCCCGATGCACAAGAGCAGTGGTAAGTGCTTGAGCATTCAGCTTTGCCCAAAATTGCGCATACAGGCTGTCAAAAGCCTGCAGGAGCGGGGTCACGCTGCTGGATAGCAGTATGGAGACTTGCATTGCTTCAGGCTCTGGCGTGGTGGCCATCTTAGACTGTGGGCCCTGATCCCTCGGATTACCTTGGAGTGTGGTTCAGGCTGCAAGAATGCCCCCGTGGGGACCGGGAAAACCCCCACCAGTCCAGAGGGGGGAGGGGGAGGCAGGGTTCAGAAACAAGCTGTTTCCAGACCAGGGCAGAGGAGCGGCCGCCTCCCCCACCACAAGTACAAGAGAGGCCTTTCATGAGTTATGCCCACCGGTGTCAAACAGAAGTAGGTCAGACACCTGACAGTGTCCCTCAGGTAAGTAATCCATTTGTGGCCTAGAATGGGTTAATGCTGTATAAGTATTAGGCTTTTCCCAAAGTTTTCCCTGAGGAGCTCATGCTACAAGATATTTTTAACATCGACAATCAATAAATATATAAAAATAAAAAGAGGGGTCACCTTTTTGTTTGAAAAAAATGTAGCGTTAGATATAAAACATGAAATATTAGATCCAGAAGGCCGATATATCATCTTGGTATGCGAAATAAACAACAAACTCTTCACAATTGCCAACATATATGCACCAAATAAATCGACAAATTACATCGCAAAAGTACTTAAGAAGATAGAACAGATTAAGCAAGGAGTGGTACTACTAATGGGGGACTTCAACTGTGTAATAGATCCTGCGAAAGATAGGAAGAATCAGAAGTATCGTAGAAATAAGGCCACCAGTGGAAATAGAATGCAAAACCTCTTGAATTCCCACAATCTGAGAGATATATGGAGAACATTCCATCCCTCAGATTTGGACTTTACATGTTACTGTAACGGATCACCTGGCACCCCGACTGGGTACCTCCGTTAAAGGATGCTCCTAGCGCTTCCTGAGGACTCCAAACACTGCAGCAGACACCACAACCACCGAACCGGAGAAGCATACGAATCCTCTCAAGCATATGAATGCTGTAGACAGTTGAATAGGAACCATACGAATAGGTTTACTCTCCTAGCAGTCAAACTGGAACAGCATACAATAAATTCTTCCCCCAATAATGAGACGACACTTCACTTTGAGGGTTAAAACAGGAACTCCCTGTACTGTCACATACAGTCTCTTTTATTCCCAATCCACAAACATAGTACAGCCCACAGGCGTTACAAAACAACCAATCACATCACAGTTACATCCCACATATTCCCTCCCCTTATCCTGAGAGGAAACTCAATTATACATACAGTTGAAACATACTTTCTACCCAACTTTCATAACTCCAAAACCATACATCACATTCACATAAAATTACATATTCACAATCAATCCATTCAGGGGAACAACATATTCAAAAATGGCACAAATCAGACAATGGGTTCAAAAGTTAGTAAAAAGTCCTTTGTGACTAAATGAAGCATGGCTTTCTGGCCCAAACCAGTTTCAGAGTCTTCTATCCTGGAGATAATTGAATTAATTATCTCCCAGGATAGACACAAGACTCCATTAAGCACATGGTTGCAAAAAGACACAAAACACTTTAAAATACATAAAGTCACATTTACACATAACCCACAGACATTTCACATATCCCCAGATAGCTGGGATCTGAGTGCACATTATTAGATGAATGGCACTCAGATCACACAAATAAGCCTTTCTGCAGGGGAAATACACAGTTTAACCTGCAGGGCCATAGTCCAAAGGGAGCAGGCGAGCAACCAGGCTTCTCCAGTTCACAGTGGCGAGGTTGGTTTCGCCACACTTCTCCCCTTTACCAACTAGACTAACAGGGTATCTGACCTCCTGGCGGTCAGTGCCCTGGTTAGTCCAGCAACCCACCCACAAAACAGAAACAGCAGTACAGCCCACCCACAATAACTGGTTACTACACCTGGGTAGAGGAGAACTTTGTCCATGTCCAGGTGCCTCACCACGACTGTGTAGGCAACTGTTAGGCTGCCTTGGTGGGTTGCTGAGTGGGCAGAGACCAGCGGTACTCTGCCCTGATGCCAGTGCTACCACGGAAGTAGCCTGGTGGGAGCCTGGTTGTGGGAGGGAGAGACCGACTGTCTCCCCCCTGGATACACCGCTCTGTGGCTGGGGAACAGGACCGACTGTCCCTACCCCTTGTGCTGTAAGTGCAGAGACTACAGTCCCATCTGCACTGTTGGGGGGTGTAACATCTCCCCTTGCTAGGTTAGGCTGCCGCTGGAGAGAGGGTGTAACAAGCTCCTCTCTCTGAACTGTAAACTGCCGCTGGGGAGAAGGGGTATCAGGCTCCTCTCCCTGACACTCTCTCTGCTGGTGGAGAGGGGGACCAGCTGTCTCCCCTTTCATTATTTTGTCCTGTGGTTGGGGTGCGAGACTGGCGGTCTCTGCTCCCTGCAGGACACTCTGCCGCTGGGGAGGAAGGACGGCACCTTCAGCTCCCTGGGGTACACACTGCCGCTGGGGAGGAAGGACTGCACCTTCAGCTCCCTGGGGTACACACTGCCGCTGGGGAGGAAGGACTGCACCTTCAGCTCCCTGGGGTACACACTGCAGCTGGGGAGGAAGGACGGCACCTTCAGCTCCCTGGGGTACACACTGCTGCTGGGGAGGAAGGACGGCACCTTCAGCTCCCTGGGGTACACACTGCCGCTGGGGAGGAAGGACGGCACCTTCAGCTCCCTGGGATACACACTGCCGCTGGGGAGGAAGGACGGCACCTTCAGCTCCCTGGGATACACACTGCCGTTGGGGAGGAAGGACAGCACCTTCTGCTCCCTGGGGTACACACTGCCGCTGGGGAGGAAGGACGACACCTTTGGCTCCCTGGGACTCACACTGCCGCTGGGGAGAATGGACAACACCTTCTGCTCCCTGGGGTACACACTGCCGCTGGGGAGGAAGGACGACACCTTTGGCTCCCTGGGACTCCTTTTTGGCCAAATCTACTAGAGATTGCAGGTATTCTCCTACTAGTTTTCTGGCGAGCTGCATGGCTCTCTCTGGGGGGTTGGGTCCAAAGTTAGACAGCAGCTCATTAACCTCTCTGTCAAACTCCTCCTGAGTGTAGTCATACGCCATGCTTGCTCTGCTGAAGTTAGTTCTTTTGTAGATAGGGTCGCTGTACAGGTACTAGCGTTGCCCTCAATTTGTAAATCCACGAACTGTGTCTCCGAGCTGCTTTACCTCGCACTAGGACGCCATCCCACCGCTGCCACCAATGTAACGGATCGCCTGGCACCCCGACTGGGTACCTCCGTTAAAGGATGCTCCTAGCGCTTCCTGAGGACTCCAAACACTGCAGCAGGCACCACAACCACCGAACCGGAGAAGCATATGAATCCTCTCAAGCATATGAATGCTGTAGACAGTTGAATAGGAACCATACGAATAGGTTTACTCTCCTAGCAGTCAAACTGGAACAGCATACAATTAATCCTTCCCCCAATAATGAGACGACACTTCACTTTGAGGGTTAAAACAGGAACTCCCTGTACTGTCACATACAGTTTCTTTTATTCCCAATCCACAAACATAGTACAGCCCACAGGGCGTTACAAAACAACCAATCACATCACATTTACATCCCACATATTCCCTCCCCTTATCCTGAGAGGAAACTCAATTATACATACAGTTAAAACATACTTTCTACCCAACTTTCATAACTCCAAAACCATACATCACATTCACATAAAATTACATATTCACAATCAATCCATTCAGGGGAACAACATATTCAAAAATGGCACAAATCAGACAAGGGGTTCAAAAGTTAGTAAAAGTCCTTTGTGACTAAATGAAGCATGGCTTTCTGGCCCAAACCAGTTTCAGAGTCTTCTATCCTGGAGATAAGTAATTCAATTATCTCCCAGGACAGACACAGACTCCATTAAGCACATGGTTGCAAAAAGACACAAAACACTTTAAAATACATAAAGTCACCTTTACACATAACACACAGACATTTCACATATCCCCAGATTAGCTGGGATCTGAGTGCACATTATTAGATGAATGGCACTCAGATCACACAAATAAGCCTTTCTGCAGGGGAAATAAACGGTTTAACCTGCAGGGCCATAGTCCAAAGGGAGCAGGCGAGCAACCAGGCTTCTCCAGTTCACAGTGGCGAGGTTGGTTTCGCCACAGTTACTCAAGAACTCATAACTCTTACTTGAGAATTGATCTTATACTGGGAAACGTCGCAATGTTCTATCTGACCCAAAAAATAGAAATATAAGATATAACATGGTCAGACCACAGTCCGATTATATTAGAAAATAAAGATGCCTTCAAAAATTTCCGCAAAGACTGGCGCTTAAGTGACGGCATACTGGACAAAAAGTAAAACATAGAAGAGATTAAAAGAATAACCAAACTTTTTTGTTTTTTTTTTGAAAACAAAAATAAAGGCACACCAGACATCACGGTCTGGTGCGCTTACAAAAGTGTAATCAGAGGTCAGATAATCAAAATGGTAGCCACTGAAAAAAAGAAAGGATTACCGTCCTTAGCAAATTTATATATAACATTAAGCGATCGAAAAAAGTTAAACAAAGTGGCGCCTCCCACACAAATAGCAATGGAAATTTTAGAATTATAACAACAGATAAATCTGCAGTTAATGGAAAAGGCCGCAAAACAACTAGAATTCCTACCATTTTTTATTTATTTTATTACATGCCAATAAATCAACTACTTTCTACATCCAAAACCATTGGGAGAGTGTGAACTTCTTGATCTCCAGATTGGCGTTACTTCAACCAGTAGAATATACCCCCCTATTCACAGGGGTAGCAACCTGAAGGTTCATTATATACATCAAATCTGTGTGTGTAACCTTGAACCATTGGGCAATTAATAAGGCTGCAACAATATTACGCTATGTTGTATTTTTTATTTGTGTTTTAGTGATACAAGCTGGATTCCTATTCTATATGTTCTACGTAGAATTCCTACAAGCAAGATGGTACTTTAAGGGCAACAAACCGGAAGCATTAATGACCAACAAGCTGAAAAAAAGAAAAATTATAAAAGAACAATCTACAAAATAAAATACAAAGACAGGTATCTGTGACCCCAGAAGAAATAGGAAAAGCATTTGGAAAATTCTATCAGGACCTGTATAACTTACCAGAAGAAACATACAGTAAAGAAGAAGATATAGAGACATTCTTCCAAAAGATAAGCATGCCAAAAATTATGTCAGACCAACAAGAAAGCATAAATCAACCAGTAACAGAAATGGAGGTTAGTAGAGCAACGGAGAAGCTCAAAGTAAAAACCGCGCCGGGCCCAGATGGTTTTACTAATAAATTTTATAAAATAATGAAAAACCAACTTAAAGGAGAATTGGTTAATATATATAATCACATAATGATCACAGGGCAATGTCCTGGAAAGTTGCTGAGAGCAAACATAGTTCCCATTCCAAAAGCAGATAAAGATGTGGAGCTGATCTAACTACAGACCGATTTCTCTAACACAGACATCAAAACATTTTCCTCCATTTTGGCAGAAAGGCTTAAAAGAGTTATACCACAATTAATGAACTATGATCAAGTAGGGTTTATACCAGAGAGGTCTCCTATTAATAACGTTAAAAAAATAATTAACATACTAGAAGAAACAGAAAAAAAGAAAACACTACTAATTTTACTATCTATAGACGCAGAGAAAGCGTTTGATAGGGTGGGACTTTATGTTGGCGACACTAAAACAATTTGGTTTCACCGGTTCTATGCTACAAGCAATCTCAGCCCTCTACACAGGGCCATCAGCAAAAATCATAGGGTCAGGATTTACCTCACAAAACTTCAACATAAGAAATGGTACAAGACAAGGTTGCCCACTTTCTCCATTAATGTATATAATGGTTTTAGAACCTTTGGCAATCACAGTAATACAAAACAAGAGAATAAAGGGATTTACGAACAAGGCTGGACAATCAAAGGTCAATATATATGCAGATGATATTCAGTTCCAGAGTTATTGGAGGAAATAAAAGTATATTCTAAAGTCTCAGGTTACAAGATGAACTATGAGAAATCAAACTATATGGCCAAAAATCTGGAAAGTAGAGTAATGAACTTTCTTGTACAAAACCTTGGGCTACCAGAGAATAACGACAAATTAAATTATTTGGGCGTAATGATAATGTCAGACTTAAAAGATTTAATCAAAGCAAATTTTTTACCATTACTAATACAAACAAATAAAAAACTAAAGGATTGGGATTCTCTTGGTCTGGCAGAATTAATATCCTAAAAACATATATCCTGCCAAAATGGTTATACATATGGAGAATGATACCTCTGAACTTTCCAGAAAATTGGTTAGCATTATTACACTCATCATTTTGCAAATTTGTGTGGGGAGGAAAAAAAGCTAGGGTGAAAATGAAAAATCTAGCTAGGTTAAAACAATAGGGAGGTCTGGAGTGTCCAGAGATAATGCAATGCTACACGGCAAGCAGACTCTTCCACATGTTGCTCACTCAAAATAAGTTGGCAACCAAAGAAAGCTTGTATAATATGGAAAAAATAAAAACAGGGGTAAGCAATCTGTCATTACTATTCTGGATTTCAGATCTGAATAAAAAAACGATCAAAGATGCACGGAGTAAATCACAGATACTCGCAGATCTAACAAACTGGTAGGATAAAATCATGTTTAAAGGGACACTCCAGGCAGCCCTTTTTACTCACCTCGTTCCAGCGCCGGGAGCCTCGTGAAGCCGTGCCCCCCATTTCGTCAAAATGACGAAATAGGCGGGCACGAGCAGGGAGCAATCAGACG